TACATCACATAAATAAAAGAAAAGACAAAAACCACATGATCACCTCTATAGATGCAGAAAAAGCATTCGATAAGGTCAAGCACCCATTTATGATCAAAACACTCAGCAAAATGGGAATCAATGGGGCATTCCTCAACATAATAAACGCCATATATGAAAAACCTACAGCCAACATCATACTCAACGAGCAAAAACTGAAAGCTTTCCCACTAAGATCGGGAACAGAACAAGGATGTCAGCTCTCACCGCTTCTTTTCAACATCATATTGGAAGTCCTAGCCACAGTGGTCAGACAAGAGAAAGAGATAAAAGGCATCCAAATAGGAAAGGAAGAAGTAAAGCTATCATTGTTTACAGATGTCATGATACTGTACATAGAGAACCCTGTAGGCTCTACCAAAAAACTCCTCAACATAATAGGTGAATTTGGCCGAACAGCAGGATACAAAGTCAACATTCAGAAATTAAAGGTATTTTCGTACATGAGCAATGAAATAGAAGAAGAAGAAATCAGAAAAAAAATACCATTTCCTATAGCAAGAAGATAAATGAAGTACCTAGGCATAAATTTTACCAAAGACATAAAAGACCTGTACACAGAAAACTATATAACATTGAAAAAAGAAATTAAGGAAGACACAAATAAATGGAAGCGTATACCGTGCTCATGGATTGGAAGAATTAATATCATCAAAATGTCCATGCTACCCAAAGCAATTTATAGATTCAACACAATCCCTATTAAGATACCAATGACATATTTCACAGAAATAGAACAGACATTTCAAAAATTTATATGGAACCATAAACGACCCCGAATAGCTGCAGCAATTTTGAGAAAGAAACACAAAGTAGGAGGGATGACAATACCGGACATCAAACTCTACTACGAAGCCACTATACTCAAAACAATCTGGTACTGGTACAAGAACAGACCCATAGAGCAGTGGAACCAAATAGAAAGCCCAGAAATAGCCCGGGTCTATATGGGCATCTACCACTTGACAAAGGGGGCAGAAGCATTAAATGGAGCAATAATAGCCTCTTCAACAAATGGTGTTGGGAGAGCTGGACGGCTACATGCAAAAAATTGAAATTGGATCATCAGCTGACACCATACACAAAAATACACTCAAGATCGATAAAAGACTTATATATCAGTCGCAACACCATAAAGGTCCTAGAGGAGAACATTGGCAGGAAACTCTCAGATATCCCACGCAACATTTTTTTCACTTATATGTCTCCCAAAGCAAGGTACATAAAAGAAAGAATAAATAAGTGGTACCTCATCAAAATAAGAAGCTTTGCATGGCAAAAGAAAACATCAGCAAAATGTAAAGGGAGCCAATTGTATGGGAAAATATATTCGCTAATGATACATCAGATAGACGTTTGATCTCCAAGATATATAAAGTACTCACTCGACTCCACTCCAAGAAGACAAACGATCCAATCAAAAAATGGGCAAAGGACCTGAGCAAATGTTTTTCCAAGTGGAGATACAGAGGGCCCTGAGGCATTTGAAAGGATGCTCAGCATCACTAGCCATCAGAGAAATGCAGATCAAAACCAACATGAGGTACCACCTCACACCGGTCAGAATGGCCATCATAAACAGATCCACAGACAACAGGTTCTGGCGAGGCTGTGGAGAAAAGGGAACCCTAGTACACTGTTGGTGGGAAAGCAGACTGGTGCAGCCACTGTGGAAAGCAGTGTGTAATTTCCTCAAAAAGCTGAAAATGGAACTGCCTTTTGATCAAGTGATTCCCCTGCTGGGACTATGCCCTAAGAACACCAAAATGCCAATATAAAAGAACCTATGCACCCCAATATTCGTTCCAGCACAATTGACAGTAGCCAAGTGTTGGAAGCAACCTAAATGCCCATCAGTAGATGATTGGATCAAGAAATGATGGTACATATACACAATGGAATGCTACGCAGCAGAAAGAAAAAAGGAACTACTAAACTTCGTGACAGCATGCATGGAACTGGAGAGCATTTTCCTAAGCAAAATAAGCCAGGGGGCAAAAGACAAATACCATATGATCTCACCTATAAGCGGAACCTAACCAACAATACAATGATGCAAGAAAAATAAATCCAGCAACACTGAAAGGAAAAGAAATCAACAGAGACATGAGTGAAGGAGGGAGGGGGAGCGGGGCAAAGGAAGGGAAGAGGAAAGTCAAGGAACATATAGCAAGGACTCATGGACAATTCCAAAGGGGAAGAGCTGAGGGAGGGAAGGAGGGAGGGGGCAAGGGAAAGTGGTGAGGGGGAGGCAGAGACAAATGTATTTGAAAAAATAAAATTTAAGAAAAAAAGAAAAAAAAAAAGGGAAGTACCCAAATAAATAATATTGGTAATGAAAGGGGAGAAATTACAATTGATGCCACAGAAATATCAATGACTGTAAGAAATTACTATTAACTGTTGCATGTCAAGAAATCAAAACCTAAATGAAATGAAATGAAACCGCGATGAAACCTCTCTACAAATTTCTAGAAAAATATACCCTTCCAACATTGAATGAAGATATAAAAGAAAGCCTGAAGCAACTAATAAAAGCTGTTAAAATTGCAGCAGTAATCAAAAAAACTCCTGGCACACCAAAGCCCTGGGCCAGATGATTTCCCAGGAGAATTTTACAAAACATTTCAGAAAGAGGTAACCTCTGTCTTTCTCAGACTACTCTAAAATATCCAAGAAGAGGGAAGACTCCCAAATTCTTTTTATGAGACCAGCATCATTCTAATCCCAAAACCAGATAAAGACACCACCAAGAAAGAAAACTACAGGCCGATATCGCTGATGAACATAGACACTAAAATTCTCAAAATCAGCAAAATAAAAAGTGAACCAACCATATGGGAAACCATGTTTGCCAATGATAACTCAGGCAAGGGTTTGATCTCCAAAATACATAAAGTCTCATATGTTTCAATGCCAGGAAGTCTAATAGTCCCATTAAAAAGTGGGAAAACTATGTGAACAGACACTTCTCCGGGGGTCCCTGAGATATATGCAAGGATGCTCAGCATCACTAGCCATCAGAGAAATGCAAATAAAAGCACAATGAGATACCACTTCACGTTAGTCAGAATGGCCATTATAAACCAATCAACAAACAACAAGTGCTGGCAAGGTTGTGGAGAAAAGGGAACCCTAGTACACTGTTTGTGGGGAGGCAGACTTGTGCCGCCAGTCTGGAAAACAGTATGAAATGTCCTCTAAAAGCTAAAAATGTAACTGCTTTTTGACCCAGCAATTTCACTGCTGGGATTATACCCTAAGAATCCCAAAACACCAATTCAAAAGAACCTATGCACCCCAATGTTCATAGCAGCACAATTTACAAATAGCCAAATGCTGGAAGCAACCTATATGCCCATTAAGAAATGAGTGGATTAAAAAATTTGTTACATTTACACAGTGGAATACTACACAGCAGAAAGAAAGAAAGAGCTGTTACCCTTTGCAACAGCATGGATGGAACTGAAGAGCATTATGCTAAGCGAAATAAGCTAGGGTGTAAAAGACAAATATCATATGATCTTACCTATAAATGGAACCTAATCAACAAATCAAGTAAGAAAAATCTAACAGCGATATTTAAAGATAAAACAAACTGACAGTAATGAGAGGGGAGGATGGAGTGGGGTTGTGGAGAAAAGAAAGAAGAGTCAACTCAAAGAACATGTATAAAGGACCCATGGACAAAACCAAAGTGGGGATGGATTGGGGGTAGGAGGTGGAAGTGAGTGTGGCAGAGGAAAGTGGTGGTGGGAAAATTGACACAAATGTATTTGAGCAATAAAAATATTAAAAAATGAATAAATAAATAAATGTAAAAACATAAAGCAGTTGTAATGTGAGAAAATGCTGAAATCTTATAGAAAGCCAAAGCACATAAAGTTCCCAACAGAGAATATTTTCCTAAATAATAGTTAACTTTTGCAAAGATGAAGAGCCTGAGGAAATTCATTCTTTATTTCCAACAATCTTAAGTTTTTCTTTCTTCTCCCCTTCCTTCACTCCTTCCTCCCCTCCTTCCACCCTTCCTCCCTCCCTCCCTTCCACCCTCCCTCCCTCTCTCCCTCCCTCCCTCCCTTCCTTCCTTCCTTCTTTCCTTCCTTCCTTCCTTTCTTCCTGGCATTTGAAAGCCTGGAAAGAAACACAGTGTAGGGAGAAACGATTTGGAGGACTTCTTAATTGTATCCTTAATATGTAGATGTATCTCTAAAAGTTGAGCATCATTAAGGCAAGGAAATTTCTAGTCTGATTCTGGGACTATGCTGGAAGTCCAGTGAGCATGTGTGTTGAACTACTTCTAATACCTATATTAGAATGTACTAGTATGTGCATGTTCCTCAATGGCAATTTTGTCCATATACAGCACTAATGGTATGGGTCTTGTAATTTATCATTTAAAACCATGTGGGACATTATTCCAAACTATTTCTTCTTTGGGGTGTTTGTTTGTTTGTTTTATTGAATGAGTAATCATGAACCTGGAAGAGTCCATCTGTATTTTACAGCCTCATTTTCCCTATAGACTGATATGAAGGTAATGCAATTTTATTTACCTATGAGTTTCAGGATTTCTGCTGGCCATGATAGGTTTGTTTAGCATTGAAGTGGTTCCAATTCTTGCAGAGTCTCCTTTCTTTAGAAACAAAGACTTTATAGAGATGCAAATAATCAGTTTCTGCTTTACTTTGGCTGACTTGTCTGATAGCACTATTTTTAAAACAGGCAGATTAAGTAGGGCTGAAATATCATCTCACTCTCCTAACAATGGTTCATATTGGCTGACTAGTATACCTGAAATGACAAGGGACTGAGTGGTTAGCTCTTTTTCAGGTGTTATTTTTTTTCTCTCATGTATGTTTCCTTCTCCTGCAGGAGATATGAATTCCATGAGGCAAGTGTGACCCTGATGTCCAGCCTTATAGCCGTAGCCTGACATCCAGTTGGGCAGGAAGAGCACCATGGATAGCTTCATTGAACAGAAAAGTATGCTGGTGCACAATAAAATGAATGATGCTGGCAAGCGGAATGGCTTAATTAACACCAGAAATTTCATGGCAGAGAGCAGAGATGGCCTGGTGTCTGTTTACTCAGCACCCCAGTACCAGAACTGTCAGGTGGTGGGCAGTGCAGCAGTGACCACCATGGATGGCAGCAGGAATGAGCCAGTACAGCAGCTTCTGGACCCCAGCACCCTTCAGCAATCAGTGGATTCCCACTACCATCCCAACATCATCTTCTACTCAGAGAGTGTACTATGCTCCTGGGGAGATGGTATGGCTGCCGACTGCTGTGAGACCACATTCATGGAGGATCAGTCCCCCACCAAAGAGAGGCTGGAGTACCCTGATGGGAAGTTCATTGACCTCTCAGCTGATGACATCAAAATCCACACCTTGTCCTATGACGTAGAGGAGGAGGATGAATTCCAGGAGCTGGAGGTCAGAGGATGTGTTTGTCATAGGCCTTTGGGAATGGGATGTGGGAATTTTGTGGGAACTCATAAGTACCTGACAAAAGTTAGGGAATAAAACTAGTGTGAGAAAACAAAAAGAAAGTGAAGTATTCTTGGTGCATCTTAACTCTTCAATATTTGTGGAAGATGGAAGGAGTAGAGAGAAACTAAAGGACAAAGACCCAGTTAAGGCTTCAGGAGAGATTATGATCAGAAATCATCAAAGGTATTAGCTGTTGGGATGCAGCTACAAGTGGATTAAAAAGTTGTTTCCACTATCAGGTCACATGAGGACTCCTGCTAACACCCCACCCACAGGAAAGAGGGGTCATTGGCAAAAATGAACAAGGTAAGAGAGAGATATTTGGGGTCCTTGGGCAACACAAGCTTAGAAATGCACGTGAGGTGAAAATTTGGGAAGTAGTTTTGCTGCGACACATGAATGGTTTCCTTAATTTGTCATGCCAAAGTTTCTACTAAGATATCATTGCTATAGCTAAAACCTACTGAAAGGAGTAGTAGAATCAATAGCCTAAATGGAAGTTGAGTTGAATTCTTGCAGGAGTCACTCTTTCAATAGACTGAAGAGCAGGTAAGGATGTTTAGATCACATTTTTAGATACATGCACATAGTTTCAGTATAACATGCACAACAGCTTCCCCTTGTACAGCTCATCCCTTCCCCTTTGATCCAGCCTCCCAGCTGAGAGGGCAAGAGTGAACTGTGCATGTATGAACAAACACCATATTTTTGTCAACTAGGAGGTGGGTGCCCGAACCTGAGAAATTAATATCACTGCCTTGAAGGTAGAAAATATCCCCCCAGGATATAAGTGGCATGGAGAGAAGAGCCAGATTTTATGGGGAAGGCTAGAGAAATCAAGAAGAGGGAGCTTTAGAGTAGAATGAGAACAATGGCCATGGGGCCCCAGACTGTGTAGAAGGCTACCAAAATCATAAGGAATTGAGCCATGGAGACCAGATGCTGCAGGATTTGGGGTACAATGAGAACCAGGAGCACCTGGAGAGAGATGTTTTAGTCAAAAGAGAAATTCATAAGACTTCAAGATGGTGGAGGAGTGAGTAGAAGTCACACACCTTCTAGGACCAATCTGGAATTACAACTAAATTGTAGAGAAATCACCTGGAACAACAACTGAACAATAGTGAGAGAGGAGCCTTAAAACCTTGGACATACAGAGGAATCAGCTTTAGCACAACCTAACTAGTAAGGAGTGTGGTAGAAGTTGGAGAAGGTGGACTAGGGGCTCATGGGCAGCAGCACCAGAGGGATATTGAAATGGCCAGTTGGATCCCCCTGAGTAGAGCAAGGTCTAAGCCATAACCAGGGATCTCCAGCATACAGCCTGAGAACCCTTTTTGGGTTCTCACACAGAAAACAGCCAGCTGTGAAAAGCAGCAGTGTGCTCTCTGCCAGGGACAGGTGTCTGGAGACACAAAGAGCCATTTAAAGGGCCAAAAAAAATTTGCAGTGGCAGCCACTTACCCTGGGCTCCAGCAGAGGTGGGGGCAAAGTGGGTTGGGGCCACCTGAGAGACTAGGGAGTGAGGCTTTGGGACAAGAACTGAGAAAGTGGATGGTGAAGTCCCAGTGCTGACTCACCCCCCATTCCGCAGCTGCCATGTTGCTTAAGCAGGACACCCCCCTAAGCGGCAGAAGCATGAGAGGACACATTAGCCCTGCCCCAGGAGGTTCTATCTCAGCCACGAGTTGCACAGGTCTGGGTACTGAGTACAGAACGGCAGTCATAGATAGTGGATCCCTAGCTAAACAGGATGTTGAATGGTCAGGAGTTGAGTGAGGAGAGTCTGGATTCTGAGTCATTGGGGTGAGAACTGAGGGAGTGGCCAGGAAGATCCTAGTGCTGCCTCCTACCCATAAGGCAGCAGCCATATTGTTCAGCTGACCACTCCCCTGAGTGGCAGCAGAATGAAAGGACACAATAGCTACACCCTCAGGAGGCTCAGCCCCACCATGGTGTTGGGCAAGCCCGACTACTGAGTACAGAAAGGAAGTAACAGATAGTAGATCCTTGGCTAAAGAGAATGCAAAGGGGTCTAGAGATGCGTGAGGAGACCCTGGAGACAGATCCATTGGGGAGAGAACTGAGGGAGTAGTCTGGGAGATCCTGGAGCTGACTCCTCCGCCATATGGCAGCTGCCATCTTGCTCAGGCAGATCACTCCCCAGAGCAGCAGCAGCATTAAAGGACACAATAACCATGCTCCCAGTAAGCTTGGCCACAGCCCAGATTTGTGCAGGCCCAGGTGCTGAGTACAGAGCAAGAGTCACAGATAGTAGATCCCTGACTAAAGGGGACTCACAGTGGTCTAGAGATATTTGAGGAAAGTCTGGTGATGGAAGTGTTGGGGAATAAACTGAGGGAGTAGCCAGGCTGACTCCTCCCTGACATGGGAGCAGCCATCTTGCTCAGGCAGACCATGCCCCTGAGTGGCAGCAGTGGGAAAGGATACAATAGCCCTGCCCAAAAGATGGACTCTGCTCAGCCCTGACTGTTGAGGGCAGAGTGACTAGATTAACATCTGGAGGAAACAGACACAGACAGGAGATTCCTGGAAGTCTCTTAGAGACTGCCAAACGTCAGACAGGATAAACAGCTAACATCATCAGAGGCAGATCCAGAAAGAAAGAAAAAAAAAAGCAGTCTCCTACCATAGAAGTTCAAACCACAAAGTCCGGAAGTCAAGACAGATCAATTTAAGAAGCAGAAGTGAAAAAGAAGAGTCTCACAAAAAAATGGGAAAAAAAAAGAAACAAATCCCAACAGAAGAGACAGGAGAAATCCCCACAACTAAATGAAATACAGGCAAGTAAATTATCAAACACTGAATTCAAAACAATGGTTCTAAGGAAACTCAATGAGCTCAGTGAGGTCAAAGAAAATAACCAACAACTACAGGGAAACTATGAGGAACTAATTGAAAAAACTATATCAGCATGAAAAATGACATAGAAACTATCAATAAGAGGTGAGAAGAAAAGAAGAATATAACTTGTGAATTGAACACAGTAGAAGGAATTAAAACTAGGCTCAATAAAGCAGAGGAGTGAATCAGAAAGCTGTAGGACAAAGTAGAAAAAAGCTGACAGAAAGAACAAGAAAATGAAAAAAGACTCAAAAAGAATTAAGAGGCATTGAGGGAAATGCAGGACAACCTGAAACATAATAATATCTATATTAGGGATACCAGAAGGGGACAAAGACAAGCAAGGGATAGAGAACCTGTTTGAAAAAGTCATGATGGAAAACTTCCTTAATTGAGGAGAAAAAAAATCAAACAAGCCCAGGAAGCACAGAGGGTCCCATTCAAGAGGAAACCAGTGAGGCCCATTCCAAGACAAATCATCTTAAAATGGCAAATATCAAAGACTAACAGAGAATCCTGAAAGCAGCAAGGGAGAAACTGGTAGTCACATACACGGGATCCATGATACACATAGAAACTGACTTCTCAGAGAAACACAAGCCAGAAGGGAATGGCAAGAAATATTCCAAGTTATGAAAAGCAAGGGCCTGCAGCCAAGACTACTCTACCCAGCAAGGCTCTCAAAATGGAAAGTGAAGTAAGGAGTTTCCCAGACAAAAGAAGGTTAAAAGAATACACCTTCACTACACCAGCGGTACAAGATATGCTAAAGGGACTGCTTTAAGATGAAGAAAAATAGTGAGAAAGAGATGATCACAGGTACAAAGGGAAAAAATGAATATGTACCTATCAATAATAACTTTAAATGTAAATGGATTAAATGCCTCAATCAAAAACCACAGGGTAGATGAATGGATAAGAAAACACGACCCGCACATATGCTGCCTACAAGAGACTCATCTCATAACAAAGGACATTCACAGATTAAAAGTAAGGGGATAAAAAAAAAATTTCCAAGCAAATTGACAGGGAAAAAAAGCAGGTGTAGCAATACTTATACCAGACAAAATAGATTACAAAACAAAGGCCATAAAAAGAGACCCAGAAGGACACTACATAATACTCAAAAGAAGAATCCATCAGAAGACATAAGCATTTTAAACATATATGCACCCTACATAGCAGCACCCAAATATATAAGGAAAACCTTGACAGACTTCAAGCAAGATATAGATAGTAACACACAGATAGTAGGGGACTTTAACATCCCACTGTCAAAAATGGATAGATCTTCCAAACAAAACATCAACAAGGATATTGTGGAACTGAATGACACATTATATCAAAAGGACTTAACTGGTATATATACAAGCTTTCATCCCTAAGAAGCAAAATACGCATTTTTTTCAAATGTATATGGAACATTTTCAAAGATAGACCACACAAAGGGACACAAAACAAGTCTTAACAAATTTAGGAAAATAGAAATAATAATAAGCATTTTCTCTGACAACAAGGCCTCGAAACTAGAAACCAATCAAGGAAAAAACTCAAAAACATTCAAACTCATGGAGACTGAATAGCACGCTATTAAACAATGAATGGGTCAATAATGAGATAAGAGAAGAAATCAAAAAGTTTCTGGAAACAGATGAAAATGAATACAGAACAGTGCAAAACCTATGGGACAAAGCAAAGGCAGTCCTGAGAGGGAAGTTCATAGCAACACAGGCCTACCTAGAAGGAAAAGAAACCAACAGAGACAAGAGGGAAGGGGGGGGGCAGGGGAAAAGGAAGGGAAGGGGAAAGTCAAGGAACATATAGCAAGGTCTCATGGACAAAGCCAAAAGGGAAGAGCTGAAGGAGGGAAGGAGGGAGGGGGCAAGGGAAAGTGGTGGGGGGTTGGCAGAGACAAATGTATTTGAAAAAATAAACTTAAAAAAAAAAGAAAAATTTCAAATAAATTACCTAACTCTACAACTTCGAGAACTGGAGAAACAACAACAAATAAATCCCAGAGCAAGTAAAAGGAAGGAAATAATCAAGATCAGAGCAGAATTGAATGACAAAGAGACTAA